GCCTCGCTTGGCGACCAGGTGATGGCAACCTGGTTCTTCCCCCGGTGGAGCGGCGTTAGCCGACAGGCTGCTCATTCTCCCGGTGCCGGCCGCGCCGGCGTGCGTCGGGGAGTGCTCTACCTTCGGCGCGCTTTGTTTTAGGGATGTGAGCAGGAGCTTTGGAGAAACCCAGTGCCAATGGGAAAGCCTGTTGGGAATAAGGAGCCAAAATAAGATATTCGTGGCCGCGACTGAGAAGTAGGAGGGAAAATCAAGCGGTCGGGTGCAGTCTTTGCTTCATGGGGAGATCGTGCGAGGGAATGGTTCAAAGCCTCGCGCTCGGCCCTCGCTCCCGGGCTGAACTGTCGGTGAATGAGTGCAGGGCGCTCGTTAGACTGCGGGGCGGCTAACGGGGCGGCTAAGGCGAACCCCCAAGGGCAGTCGGGGCGACCGCTGCGGGGCAAAACCCGGCCGGCATCGTTACGGGCGACCGCTGCGTGACAAAACCCGGCCGTCATCGTTACTGTGGGCGCTGCTCGGGGCTTAAGAATACAAATCATCAGGAGCAGAAGACTGGGCTTTCGCTAACGAGCCTGCAGGCTTCCGATTTCCATGATCGCTTCCAGTTATCAAAGCCCGGGTCTTTCTGCTCCTGCGTCCACTCCGCAAGCGGGCTGCAGGGCTGGGCCAGCCCGCCGGCGTCGCTAACTGTTTGTCCTTTGCTTTCAGATTACCGAAAAGTGTGGTACTGGTGCAGTCTTTTTGGTGGAAGGATCTAAATAAGCACATTTTGAAGGCTTGGACAGTCATTCAAAAGCAAAAATGGTAAGGATCGGGATCGGGAGGTTCTGGGCTCGCGAGGTAAATACCTGTGACTCCGCTCGCGCTAAAATTGTTTCAAAATCCCTTTTCAGCGACCGATGCGTATTTTTGTGAACGACGACCGCCACGTGATGGCCAAACATTCGGCCGTTTACCCGACGCAGGAGGAGCTGGAGGCCGTTCAGAATATGGTGTCCCACACGGAGCGAGCGCTCAAAGCTGTGTCCGACTGGATCGACGAGCAAGAGAAAGTCAGCGGGGAGCAGCCAGAAACAGAGTCCATGGAGACGGCAGCCGAAGAGGAAAATAAGGAAGGAGGGTAAGGAACACCGCCGAGCACGTGCCTGCGAAGGGCGCTGCCGGACGTCGTGGCGCCGTCTCGCTTGGGTTAGTAAAGATCTGCTCGCCCAAAGTGGGAAAGTCGCTTTACCTAGCTGTGGGGCTAGGAGGAGTGAAGTAACCCCAGGGCTGAAGCGACTTCAGAATCATGGAATGGTTTGGGTTGGAAGGGACCCCCAGAGGTCACCTAGTCCAACCCCCCCGCGGGAGCAGGGACACCGCCAACTAGATCGGGACACCGCTAGCCAGATCAGGGCAGGTGTAGTAAATCCTTCAGCGTTGGGAGTGGGGGACCGGCGTCGTAATTTAATCTTTGCAGACCTACCCCTTAGCTGGGGGTCGAGCTTCGGTGCTGCCGTTAACCCTTCGGGTTTTGAAGGCGTGGTGATCGTGCCCTCGGTCTTTGCAGGGATCAGAAGGCCACGGAGCAGCTGACCAGGACCCTGCGGGGCGTGATGCGCGTGGGGCTGGTAGCCAAAGGCCTGTTGCTGAAGGGGGACCTGGATCTCGAGCTAGTTCTTCTGTGCAAAGATAAACCCACCACGGATCTCCTGGAGAAAGTAGCCGACAACCTTGGAGTCCAGCTTGCTGTGAGTAAAAAACCCTGGGCTGTCGGCAGAGCAAAGCCAGAGAGGTTTTTAAACGGCGCAAAAAGCCGGCGAGGGCGTTGGGTTTGACGCCCGTTTCTGTCTTGGAAAAGGAATTTCCACGGGCGTGTGGCGTTACTCTGGAACGGCCGTGTGGAACGAGCTGCTCTGTTTATAAGACCTCGGGGTTTTGGGGGTTTTTTTTTTTTTTGTTGGAAGAGGATGTTGCAAATCGCTTGGCAATGAATTAGACGCTTGCTAAGCGGCGAAATTGTATTGCAGGCTATTACTGAAGACAAGTACGAAATAATCCAGTCGGTTGGCGACGCTGCGATTGTAATTAAGAACACGAAAGAGCCGCCCTTGACGCTGACCATCCACTTGACGTCGCCCGTAGTCAGAGAAGAAATGGAGAAACAGTTAGCTGGAGGTAGGGGAGCCTGAAACCAGCCGGCAGCCGGTTGGAAAACCCGTCCGTTTCCGTTGGTGATTCACCGCCAAAGCGTGCTCTTCAGTTTCAGCCGAAGCGGCAACGATTATTTCGGTGCAAATTCAAAATATCCTGCGAGAGACTCCCCCCAACCTCTTGAGATCACGGGTCCGGTTTATTCGGGCTGAGCTTCCGAAACTGAGTAGCACCTTTCAGATGAGATTTTGCTCCTTTTGTTTATTTATTTATTTATTTTGGTATCTTTCTTTTTTTTATTATTATTTATTTATTTATTTTTTTAATTTTCCCACTTGGGCCTGTAGTTCACTAACACGTCATCTTTGTTGTATTAATCTCGGTTTGGACCAGGCCGCCTGCGTGGCCTGCGCAGCGACATAAACACCATAAAGCAGGGGCGTTTATAAAAACCAAAAAAAAAAAAAAAAAAAACCAAAAAAAAAAAAAAAACACCCAAAAAACCAACTCTGGAAGGCTTCTCGTTGAATGACTTGCATGTAAATCGGATGTTCCACACGGTTTGTGTTGCAGCAAGAGTTGAGGGGTGCTCCGGGTCTCCTCGATTGGCTGTTTCATCAGCTAAAAGTCCCGAATTCCAGAAAGCGATGCAGAGTTTTGGATAAAGTTAGCTTCTCCCTTGGCTCTGGGAAATCCCCTTTGCAATACGAATCGGCAGGCGGTTTTTTGGCGCCTGGATTGCGAGGGGTTCGCTGTCGTAGGCGCGGCGCTGGCGAATCGGCGGGTTCCGAACGCTCGCTCTGCGCTAGCCTTATCTAAAACCCTGGTCTTCAGAAACTTTTGAGCTTTTTGTTGCCTTGGCCAAACCTTATCTTCAATTTTGCTGCAGCACAGACTGGGAAATATCTTTGTGCTCTATTGACTGTCTATGGTTTTGATATCTGACCTCGTCTACCGAGCCTTCTAGTTTGTCAATTTTAGGGACGCTGGACCTTTGACCAACAGGACGCTCTCTGTCACGGGTTGGGGCCGGGGCAGTCAAGCCTCACGGGCGGAGGGGGTTCCCTCGATCCTCACAAAGCTTTTTTTTTTCCTCCCCCCACCTCACTCCCCCGCTAAAGCTACGCTCTGAACGCAGAGTGGGGGTTTATTTCAATAAATTGCCCTTCGTTACCTATTACCGGCCTCGTATGCTGCCGCTTCATCCGAGTCGTAAAGGATTTCTGTCCTCTCCCATCGAGTTCCACGCCCCATCTCCTCCCAGAAGAGATCCCAGTCCATCCCTGTTAATTGAACTTCCCCCCCCACCCCCCCGCTGCCCTCTGCAGTTTTTAATTTGTAAGCAAGGCCGCTAGGCGAGCGCACTGCAGACCATCCTTCCAGGTACAGGATCTAGATCAGGATCTTTTGGGAGCCTCAGCTGCCCGTTGGGAAGCTGCCTCATCCCCTCTCCGCCTGACAGAACCCCCTTGGTCAAACTGTGCCTTGTCTTCTTATTCCATCCACGAATAGAAACGCTATCAGTCAACGACTCCCCGGACGTTCTGGACAGGCAGAAATGCCTTGCTGCCTTGGCGTCACTGCGACACGCCAAGTGGTTCCAGGTTTGCATTTTGTTCTTATATTTGTCTTTAAGTAGAAAATGTGTAAAGTATTAAGGGGCTGTGTTGTTTTGGTTTTTATTTTTTTGTTTTTTTTTTATATTTAAAATACTGTAACGTCGGATGGTAGCTAGACGTGCTGAACTTAGCGTCTGTCAGCGGTACAGTTGCTAAAGAGGCACTTAAGCGAGTTAAACGTTCAGAAGGAACCTTTTTTTTTTTGTTTTTTTTAAAGAGTAGACACGTAGCTGCTGCGTTGTGCTAAGAGTAATGTCGCCTTCGTACTCTGCTGCTCTAAAACGGTGACGCGAAATACTGTTTACCCTTGACAAAGTAGCACCGCAGAAAATGAATGTCTGCCGAGGGGCCGTTGTGGCGGGGTTATTGACTGCGTGCCTGCTTCTGCTTCCTACCCCAGGCCAGGGCGAACGGGCTGAAGTCGTGCGTCATCGTGATTCGAGTGCTGCGAGACCTGTGCACTCGCGTTCCTACCTGGGCGCCGCTGAGAGGATGGGTAATTCTTCCTTTTTTCTTTTTTTTTTGGCTTTGTTGTTTTTGGGGGGTTTGGTACCAATTCTCCAAGCCGAGGCGGCGCTCCGGCTCCCTTCAAGCCTGCGCCCGTTCCGTAAGTTAGAGAGCCATGTCGTGTGAGGAAAGCTTCCGCCCTTAAAGACGCCTACGCGATGCCCGCGGCGCCAATCGCTCAATCGCAACGATCGTTCGTGAACTTGGAGCAGCTTCTCGCCGGAACGGCAGCGCCCGCCTTCGCTTCCTCTCACGCTTCCCAACTGTCTTTCAGCCTCTGGAGCTGCTGTGCGAGAAGTCGATCGGAACCGCCAACAGACCCATGGGCGCTGGCGAGGCTCTGAGGAGAGTTCTCGAATGCCTCGCCTCGGGAATCGTTATGCCAGGTTAGGTGGTTCTCTGCATTTACATTTCACAAGCGAAGCTGAAAACGCGGGTGAAGCTTCCCGGCGCGGTTACGTTCCCTTGTTATCCGTGCGGGCAGCGTAGATTTCGGAGCTCAGAAAGCCCCCCGGCGTTCACGGGGACGGCAATACCTCGCCGTTACCGTAGGGCACGTCTGTTCAGAGCCTCGGACCCATGACGTTAAACCCCCGTAGAGAGAGGTACCAGTTTCTACAAGCGTAAAATTGGTTCCCTGAGTGGTCGTGACCAGCTCCACTGCTAATTGTACGTGTGAAAAAAAAAAAAAAAAAAGATAAAAATAGTCCAGACGAGTTTCAGAATGTTGGACATTGGATGGATCATGTCAGTCCGTGTTCTTCGAGAGATGAGTGTTGATTGATGCCAAGGGAATACTTAGTTTAGTTGCTTTAGAAAACACCAGGATAATTCTCTGCATATCTTCCTTGTTTCCTGCCTTCAGATGGTTCTGGTATTTATGATCCTTGTGAAAAAGAAGCCACTGATGCTATTGGGCATCTAGACAGACAACAAAGGGAAGATATCACACAGAGTGCTCAGGTATAGTTTTGCCTACAGATGTTACGAAAACTTAAATCAGTTCCACTGCCTCTGAACTCCCGTCTTGGTTAATGGTAGTTTAGTAACCTCACGGAGGTCGGTGTTAACTTTGGTAATACCCAGTCCAGTAAAAGCAATACCAATGGGTCCCACACCGCTGAGGAATTTGTAGCTTGGCCAATCCAGAAGCAAAAGCATCAGGTTTTAAATAGTGACTTGCTACCATGACCCGTATTTTGGGTTGAACTTCCAAACAAAGCAAAAAAAAAAAAAAAAAAATTTAAAAAAAAAATTGAAAAAAAATTTAAAATAAAAAAAAAAATAAATAAAATCCAGAGAGTCCTATTTAAACCGCTGAGGATTTCTGTGTAGGGGTGGGTAGAATGGTCCTGTCTGAAACTGTGCAGGGAACAGAGCTTGGTGTGGCCGCCCGCGCGCCCCGCTCACACGTGTTTTAATCCTTCTAGCATGCTCTGAGGCTTGCGGCTTTTGGCCAGCTTCACAAAGTCTTGGGGATGGATCCCCTGCCTTCCAAAATGCCCAAGAAACCAAAGAACGAGAACCCTGTCGACTATACTGGTAGGTACTGGGCGAAATAAAAACCCCCACCCAAACCAAACCCGAGGCTGTCGTTGCTGGGAACCGCCGTGCTGAGGGGGGTTTCGTTACGGTCGTTACAGTCCAGATTCCTCCCAGTACAACGTACGCCGTCACCCCAATGAAGCGTCCCATGGAGGAGGACGGAGAGGAGAAATCTCCCAGCAAAAAGAAAAAGAAGATTCAGAAAAAAGGTATTGAGTTAACACGAGGTAGGTACACGTGGCTTCCCGAGGGCCGTTCTCGGGCTGCGGCGGGGGGGGAGCGGGGGGCGGCAGAACTCCTGCCCCAAGCGGTTGGTCTTGGGGGACGCCGTTTCGTGGGGGTTACGTGTGAA